TTAAAAGTACCATCAAGATACCATAATTACTATAAAATATGCATTCTATACACATTTGGCATTTACTTATTAAACATTCAAGAATCTGATAGCCTGGGGGACAAAGCTATTTCCCAATCTGGCTGTTCTGCATCGGATACAGTGGAACCTCTTCCCGGAAGGTAACAAAAAAAGGGCTGTATGATGAGCTGTATGTATAACAAAGAAAGGGCTGTATGATGAGTTTCTGTTGGAGAAGATTCCCTAAATCTTTCTCTTTTGGTAATTAGGGGTATGAACATACTGCTGAGGACCCTTCACTGCTGTATCGTGTAGAGACTATGCCAGGCCTGGGCTGGGTGCTAAGAAAGACTTTGTATAAGGATGAATTGGAGCCTAAGTGGCCAACACCAGAGAAGGTCAGTCTGTTCTCCCAGGTTGTCTTTCCTTATTGAATAAAACTTTGTGTTTCTTTTAGGTAGATGGCCAGTTCTACATTACTACCATCTGGTATTCATAATGAGTTAATGGTATCTTTTCTTGCATCATTGGGACCATGGGACCCTCTAACATACTCTTTCCCAACCTTTACAATCTCCAGATAAGTCAACTTCAACTCTCAGCATTTTTAGTAAAGGCCACGTTGGCTGAGAAATTCTAGAAGTTGAAATCCATATATCTGAAGTACAACCAGGTTCAGGAAAGCTGCTACAACAGTACAGTTGAAAATCTTCCTTAATTAGGAAATGTTATTATTGGAAAGGGCCTAAATTTGTCATGCTTGTATACATATATATAGCTTTAAGATTTAAGCAATCATGAATCATCCCCAAAATCATCCAGAATTGAACAGAAGGAGCCAGGAGGAAAAAATTCAAAAGTTGGTACATCAAGCTTTCAGTAGAACAGAACAAAATAATTTTATTAAAATTATTGACTTCACGATAATTATCAAAATGACCTGCTGCTTTAATAATAATCCATCTTGATATAATGTACCAGCCTCTTCTAATCTGATGTCTTCCAAATACATTGAACTCCATTTCTAATCATTTCCAACCAGTATGCTCAGAGGGAACAGATTTGGAGGACCTAAGTTGAGAAAGGCAGATTTAGTTTCTGCTTCATAAAAGGATCTCACATCGGCAAGCTTTGCTGTGCCTCTATCTACCAGTCTGGTTAGAAGTCATTTTGCTGATTGGGCTTGGCAAAGCATGAGAATGCTTAATGAAGATCTAACAATTAACATACTTAAATAACAGTTGGCCATGCATGTTTGCAAGCTACTGTATATTTTCTAACAACATCACATCATCCCTGGCTATTCGTGCAATCTGAATATCTCATCATACTGAGATCATGCAGGAGTTTTTAAAATGTGGGATGTACAAGAGCAACGAAAGCATTAGATGGGAGGGGGAAATGCATTTTTAAAGCACTTAGGTTTTACTCAAGTAATAAGCTCAGCGACTTGCCATTTTCTAGCTCTATAATGGCCAGACTATTTTTTAAAAAAATCAGGGACCATTATGCAACTAGTAAATACCTGAACGAATGTTACATAATTGCATTAGTCAGGGATTCTAAGAAAACCCAACTTCTAACACCAAAGAAAATAACTCAAATCAAAGACAACAGAGAGTCTTCCCGTTTTGTCCAGATCTTATGCTTGCATATGAAGTATGCATTAGAACAGAAATGTCTAAGCATTAGTGCCAGGATACCAGCCTCAGAACAGCCTTCGGTAATATTCCATTTTCAAAATTGGGAAAGAACTAATAAGAGTCTACATCTGAAACTCAGGGTAAGGTATCTTTTGCTTCAAGCTCCAAGGGGTTTTTAAGCAGTGCAGATGCTTTTGGTGACTGCAGCAAAGTGAGTGGCTCTCAGAGAAAAGCTTCTTCTCTGGATTGTATTTCGTGTGTTTTCTTCTCTCAGCTTTGGGACTGGGACATGTGGATGCGCATGCCGGAGCAGCGGAAAGGCCGCGAATGCCTCATCCCAGACGTATCGCGCTCGTATCACTTTGGCATTGTTGGCCTCAACATGAATGGCTACTTCCACGTGAGTGGCCCATCTTAACTTGAATGCAGAAACAGTAGCTCCTGTTCATACCCTTCTTTAGTCACAAAACTAGCCTGTATAAGTTTTGAGAGGTCTTAACTGGACAGGAAGTGCGGTTGGATTGTTCCGTTTTACATGCTTCCTTGCCCTTCAGATATTTGTCTTCTACCAATTTTAGCATAATTTTGGAAGGAGGAGAAGCTGGTCTTTTAACAGTCTATGCAGAGCTCCCATATTAGTATTCAAAGGCCATTATAAGTAAATGGAACTTCTCTGGATGGACAAAGTATACCCTTGAGCTCCATCTTCTGGGATTGAAGCAGAAGAACCCCAATTGCTTTTGAGCACTCAGAGGAAACTGAGTAACTGTTTTAGGGAATAGAGTACAGGACTAGATTAACTGTGACTTGAACCAAGAAAGCAATCAATATCTTCTTCAGTTGATTTATCCCCTAGTCCCAATGTTTGCAATTTGTCCTTCTAGTCAAGCATTAATAAGCAAAACCCAGCAATTTATTCACTAAGTACAGCTGTCCCCAATGATTGCCTTTAGGTAGGAAACAAATGAGATTGTTTAGCTGCAGTTGTTCTTCTTGAGACAATGATGTAAAATATTTCCCCTGCAGCTCTTTGTATGCAGCAGCAGCCATGGTTCTCTCTCTGCTAAACTTTAGGAGAAAGAAATGGAAGGTTAGGATAAATGATACTTCAAAACCCCTTTTTTTCCATTCATGTTTTTCTAGGAAGCCTATTTCAAAAAGCACAAGTTCAACACAGTCCCCAGTGTACAGCTTAAGAATGTGGAGAGGTAAGTTCAGTATGTAGAGAATATGGAGAACAAGCTGACATGGATGTCTTCTGACCCATGTACACAGCTTTCTTGTGTAGGCAATTCATCAACCTGAATGTAGTCATAGCACTTGAGGAGCATGAGCAAGTTGAGATGAACCCTACTATAATACTCTTGCTTGACAGGAGACTCTACTCAGGATGGAAATTAGATTCCCTTACCATTTTCAGACTGCAAGAATTTGGACTAGTGGAGGGACTGTTTACTTATGCCCAACCAAGATAAACTTGTAAAATATAATTCAGTGGTTGCAATTGGCAGATTCTGACTTGATTCAAACAAGTGTGCATCTAAATCAGTGTTTCTCAACCTTGGCAACTTTAGGATGAGTGGACTTTCAACTCCCAGAATTCTAAGTTGCTAAGGTCGAGAAATACTGATTTAAATGTTCCACACCAGTTCATGAGCATGAGGAACAACAGGAAGAAGGAATGGAGAAAAAAATAGAAGAGCAAAAATGTAGGAGCAGTGAGTTTGGTGCAACTGGTAAGTTTAGATCCTGGGCTTTATGGCCTGACGGGCCTCCAAGCGTATTATTTGCAGGGGGAAAACATTTTGTTGTGGAAAATGTCAGAATACAGTTTAAAAAAATTAAAAAGCACCTGAAATTGAATATCACAGTCAAGCAACAGACTTCTGACTATAAAATGCCTTTACAAAAAAAGAGTGGGGTGGAAGGTGATTTGGGGTTAACAGCATCTGCCTTAATAGCTCCAGCTTCTCCATCTTAGTCCAGATTCATACGTAGGTAGATTACTGTGCTTGTTTGCCTCTGCAGTCATTACCTGCCATTCCCTGGATTATTATTTGAGCCCTACACACACACACACACACCAGCCTTAGGTCTCTGTTCTTTGGTTCTGAAGATCAGGCCTAGCTGTACCACTAGGTACAAGTATTACTCACCCTCCCAACCAGCTAGGTACAGGTGATATTCTTGGAAGGGGCAGAAACAAATGATTCTGCATTTTCCTCTGTTTCTAAGGGTTTCTTGAGAATGGAAATAAAAATAGAGGCCTCTGGGCGACAAATCATACAGTAGAAATTCAGGAGCAAGAGGGCAACATGATTTCAGGCCCTGTTTTGAGGATTTGCAGGAGGTTAAGGATGGAAATAAGAGCAGTTCCCCCCCCCCCCCCCTTAAGATTCCCTTGCTTATTTTGGAGAGAAAGAGGTGTGGAGATGGGAGAAGAAATCAGCCATTTTGCCACCACGTTTTGGTGACACAGTCTTGGAGTATGCAAAGGAGTATTGCCCCTTCCTGCAATAGAGTATTAAGCAATTCAATTTCAGTTCTGACTTTTTATTTCTCTTTTCACTGTATAGTTTAAAGAAAGACGCATATGAAATCGAACTTCATCGTCTGCTCAGGTACCTTATGTGTTAAGAATTGGATCACTGAAACTGATAGAGAGTTGGATTTCTTATATGACATGATCTAGTGTGCAAAATGTTGGGACTGAAATTATGAAATGCTGGCAATCTCTCATCAAATGCTTGAAGGCTGAATCCAGAAGGACATAGTGGCCAATCTGGCAGTTAACATGTCTTTTAAAAATATTAGTTTTGAAATATTACCTCTCAGAACCAATGAATATTTCTTGGATTGCATGTTCCTGTTTTGTTTCTTTAATATGGCACTTGTTTTGTATTATGGCTCTTGGTATTTTTCTGTCCTTCACTTGCCCTCTCTAACTCTGTCTTATTTTCACCCTCCTCCTTCTTCTTCAGTGAGGCTGAAGTTCTGGATCACAGCAAGAATCCTTGTGAGGATTCCTTTGTCCCAGACACTGAAGGAAAAACCTATGTGATGTACATCAAGATGGAGCAGGAGGCAGATTTCACTACTTGGACTCAGCTTGCCAAGGTTTTTTTCTTTTAAAGATAGATAGATAGATAGATAGATAGATAGATAGATAGATAGATAGATAGATAGATAGATAGAATATTAACAGATAGATATAAACTTAACAAATATAATCAGAAGCAAGAAAAAAATAGAAAAAGCAAACTAAATAAAGAAGTTTTAAAGAATTGTAAAATTGACAAAAATGTTGAAATGGCATTGATATAAATCTACATATTAAAATATATCAATTTGAAAGTTGAAATAAGTGTTAAAATAAATCAACCTAAGAGTCAGATTATTATACAGTGATTACCAGCTTTAACCAGTATGATTTGATTTATAAACTAATTAAAAAAAGGGCAATAACTTCTGTCTGACTTGGAAAATTTAATGAATTAGCAAATCATGAAAAAGAAAAAGCTAAATGTTACAACTTTATGTTAGGAGAAGGATGTAGTCCAAATCTGTTTGTAAGATTATAATCCAAAAAATAGTTTCCACATTCAGTTAAATTCTGTATCAGATGTGTTTTTTAAAAACAAAGTTGGCCTTGATATTGATGCACACACCCATAACTTAATTTGCCATTCTTCTACAGAAGGAATTATTTGTGCTTTCCATTAAGAAGTATAGAATATTCTAGTAGCTGTTGCCATGTACAAGTCTAACTCATTTTGTAGGAATATCTGGTTTAATAATATTTAGTAAAAAGATAACAGGCTGAAAAGAAAAATCCACCGTTAAAGTCTGTTTAATTTCCACCTCTTCTTCCTGCCTACTCTGTGACTGGGTTGCAGAGGAATTCCTGCTCATATTCAGGCTGTACCATATTGCAAACCATTGCTGAAAGCTGCTTAGAAGCACTCAGCTGGTTTAGATTCTGAAGCTTTACTCTCATTATTAATTTAGTCTTGCTGGCAAGTGCTTATAAATTGTTCTTTTAGTGCCTCCACATCTGGGACCTGGATGTCCGAGGGAATCACAAAGGACTATGGCGGCTGTTTCGGAAGAAGAACCACTTCTTGGTTGTAGGAGTCCCTGCCTCTCCATATTCGTAAGTCATCTTTGTGGGTCAAGTCAGACCTAACTGTTCCATAAAACTTTGCCTGTTCCCATCAGACTTGTATGGCCAGATTGCTTGGCTAGGCACCTTCTCTTTTGATGTTACACATGTGTTCTTAACAAAGTGTCAGATCATATGATTTTCTCCAAAGGGACTCATGGAGACATCCCCTGTGATGGGTAATTAACCTCTGCCCATTGCTGTGTCACTGCTGCAAATTGGTACTTATTTAATTCTTTAATAAAATGGATGTTGTGTAGAACTTACAAAAGAAGCTCTAATGGGATGTTGTTTTACAGCAGAAGTCCTCTGGGCCAAAGAAGCCCTTGGGTAAGCCTTGCATGTAGTTCACAGAGGCTTTCAAAAGTTGTACTTAAATTGAAATTTTTAATGTGACAGAAGGGAGAAACTGTTAAATTCACAACTAGACAGCAATCATATTAAAATAATAAATTTTAATTACATTTACATGTACATTGAATAAAATAAACTTTTGTCCAAGTCCCACCCATTACTTTTTGGAAAGCAATGCCCAGAATCTTGTTTAAAAGCCACATGTGGCCCTTGGGCCAACATAATTTGTGCACCCTTGCTTTTCAGTGAATCATAATTCTCCATGATAGTTCAGTGGACATAAGGATCTAGTGATACGAAGACATTTAAACCAGGAAGGAGAAAGCCATAGGGACTGCTGATTCTAAGAGTCATTTTGATGGGAATAACGGAGTCTAGGAAGAGCTCAGGAGCAAAAGGAAGGCATCTACTGGAAGCACACAGCTTATTCAGTAGTGGATGGATGAAAAGGTGTATTGTGTATCTTCATAGAGCAACTATGAACAGATAAGGGGAAGGGGCAAAAGCTGAAGGATGCTCTGCATTTTCTGCACACAAAATATTCCAGGTTCAGTCTCCGTCTAAAAGCACTAGATAATACTTTAGTTGGATACTATGGAGAACTGCTACAAATCAGACAATGCTAGGTTAGATGGATATATTTTAGTCCACTTTCCCCAACTTGTAGTTCCTATAACCTCAATCATTGACTGCTGGCTTAGAATTCTAAGGTTGGGTCTTGGTGCTTCTAGAAGGCACCAGAATAGAAAGGTCTGGAATACTTTGCCTCTCAAGACAGTTTTATATATTTTGTTACCTATCCTGTTGAATCTCTAGCTTTTTACCTCTTTTTCTGTGTTGGAAATTCCAGACCAATTTCATTTTTTCCTAGATTCAAAAAACCTCCTTCAGTGACCCCGATCTACATGGAGCCCCAAGCCAAGGATGAGGCAGCAGGAGCCATAGCAGCAGGAGCAGAGCAAACGTGAAGCAGAACATGGAGCGTTGACCATATTGCCTTCATAGCCTGCAGGAGAGGAGGGCAGAGGAAGACGTAGAGCTCTCTGGGATTGGTGTACTCTTTTCTCCAGAAGTCTTGAGAATTAGGACAAGCCAAAGGGGGCTCTCCCCATCCCCCATCCTGAGGCTGCTGCAGAGTGTGGACAAGTTGCCTTGGAAGAACACTAGCTGGCATCTTTAATATTTTTCTAAGCCGCTGAAACAATGCAGTTGTCTCATTTTTAATATTGATGCTTTACTAATTGTGGGCCATCATTTCCCCAAATTGGGGTTGGGCCTGTTTGAAAGGGATTGATTCCCTTTAGAAGCTCTTTCCACATTGTTACCTGAGGATACATAATTTTTTTTTTAATTTATTAGTTTGCTGCAATGGTCAGGCACCTTCTATAGGCTGTTTTCTTGCTTTATATTTCTGCTGGTTTTTGAAGTGAGTAATCATGATGGGAATCCTTCCTGGAAAGCATATGGGCCCATTCTTTAAACAGACATACCACAGCCTGACTCGTGACTTTATGGCCAGCGGTTCACATGCACACAAAGAAGAGTTTTGTGGCCTTGGCTTCGTGATCAAAGGATGCAAGCTGCAAAAGGACTGCATGTATTTACTGTGTACTGAATGTCCTGGTCACTCAGGCTCAGAATTCCCTTTTTCCTCTCCCATCCTCTCCTCCCGTTGGGCAGAGATGGCCATGCAAGATGGTCACTTTCAAAGCTATGGCCTCCAGGTTCCCAGTGGATCTGCCTGGATCCAGCTAAGGCAGTTGGTCTTGGTTGAAATACCTGAAAAGATACAGGTGACGTGGTTTGATTATTCCCATAAAATGCCTGCAGGAAGAGCCAAGCAGCAGTAAAGAAGAAAAGTGCCTTGAGCAAGCATGTGCTGGCCTGGGAAGCTTTAGTGTTTGCCAGCACATCAGGGTGCAGAAGTAGTGAATGAGTCAGACTAAATTTTTCTTCTGAGCGAGGCTGGTCTGTAGGCTCTAAACCCAAACTCAGAAGTAGCCAGCCATCACAGGGTCTTTCTGCCACTAATTAGGACCCACACATGCTCTCCCTCCTATGATATAACCTGAGTTCTCTCCTGTTCAATGTGAGATGCAGTTATTAAAGCATTTTGCCTCAAAGAAAAATCCAAAGGGGCTTGTACACTGTAAGGAACGTTTTGATACAAGTCCCAAGAGAGGGCAATTTGGGGCTCGAGATAGGTAACTAGAGGTGGAAGGGTGTAGGAAGAGAGAGGAAGCAGAAATTCAGGGATAAAGAGGGAACCATGGTTTCCTCTTGGATATCCTGTGCCTTATGGGGAAAAGGGAAGGTTTTTGGTCTAGAATGTAACTTTCAATATATTCACACCATAAATAGATTAAGAGAAAAGGAAATGAGCATTCCCCTCAAGGGAACAACTAGATTCTAGTTTGATGCCACCTTTCCTTCATTTTGCTAAGTACATTTTGTGTTTTCCTCTTTTTCCTCACTGTCCTCCAAACTTGTCAGATACCAGTATGAGTTAAAGAGCAAATACCTTTTTCTGTCCATGAGGCAGCTTGAAAACTTCTTGAGTTAATAGTATCTTGTTTTGATCAGTTGGCTGGTGCATGTTTTCTCCCTTGAAACTCAGGCTTCTACCCGTGCTTGAATGAGACCTTAAGTAGAACTGCTGACCTAATACTGTCCTATATATGAGTTGATGATATTTGCAGAGGTGACCCGTCTGCTGTGTCAATACAGTTTAAGTAGAAAAGTAGTGGATAGTTCATGTGAGGATTTCTGTCTACAAAAAATGTGGTCCTCTTGGTCCTGTCAGTCTTGAGTAAAGATGCTGTGCAGGAGGCGGTCTTCCTGTTGCAGGATGAGTGTGAGCCAGTGTGGGAGTACAGTAGTGCTGCTTTTGCTGTGCCCTGACTTCATTTCCTGCCCTGTAATGTGGAGGGGAAATGGCTTTTTCTAAAGAAATACAGAAGAGACATAACTTACTGAGATTCCTGACCATGATGTTGTGATGTGTGTTTTAAATATGCAAATGTGTACCACAAAAGTTTTTTTCTTCTGTGCAAATGCAGTCTTTCTCATGGTGTATGAAATAGCTCTCATTCTGAAGCACCTAGCACTTTGGCCACTTTGTGGGAACATGGTATAGAACTTCTTTTTTGGATTCTTGTAGTCTCCCAAAACCTGTGAGAATAGTAAGTAGCTGGTTCTCTTAATGGGGAGTAATTTCTAAATTTGAGGCTGAGAAGTCAACAGCTTGAATTTACACCTTTTAGAAATGTGCTGTGTTTTTGTCCTGTATTTATTTGGTCACTGGGACTTATGAAAACAACCCAGTTCCTTGATTTATATGGTGGTTCAACCCAAACAGCTGCGGGTAGGGATTCCACATCAGTAACAGAGATCCTAAAGGCTGTTTTTGGGGGCGGGAGGGAAAAGAGGTTAATAGATTTGTTAGCAAGCATATATTAATCAATACATGTCTCCCCCCCCCCCCCTCCCTCCTTTTTTTTTTTAATTTTATTTTTTTTTTTTTTTTTTTTTTTTTT